TTCGTGGGCTCAGTCTAAAAAAAAACGACAGCATCGATGAGAGTGACTGCGTCCTTCTTTCGCACTCCAACGGACGGCAAAGATCGGCGGATACCGCGTTACCATCTTGGCTTCGCTCATCCCCCTTTTCTTTTTGTGGGACGCACCGGACGGCCCAGAGCCTCTCGTCCAATTACGAAAGCGATGCGTCTGGGTGCGAGCGAGTGAATGAAAGAGGTTCGTTGCCTCGCAAAAAGCTATCCGCTAATTTCTGTAACGAGGCGTCGAAACCAATGGGAGCACATCGAATACATCACCCGATCTTGCGATCGTTATCTAAATGCGAGCATGTTCGTGTTGTATACACTGTCTGTTGCTAAAGCTGCGGCTCGGTCTCGTGAAGCAGACTTGCATCTCGTCTTGGTCTGGCTCGACGATAACAATGTCAGGCGGAAGAACTGAAGCACCTCTTCCGCGTGCGGACGGGAAAACGCTCGTTCCACATAAACCAATACTCGACCGTTATCCTTTCTACTATTAGGGCCGCAGAAAATGGATGGAAATAAAACAAATGTCGTTGAAAGACGATAGTCTCCTGCCAGCCTTCACTCATGCACAGCGTCGCAATTTCAGCGCTGCCTAATAAACACTAAGGTCTTTGGAATTAAACATCTATGTGACTTCTAGTAAAGAAACATACCACCTGATGGTTACACATTGAGGTGTCAACTTAGATATACGTAACATTTGCTTTTTGGTCGACAATGTTCCCAAGTATGAACGCAACCACCAGTTCAAGATGGCTGATCGTTCAGCAGGTGCTTTAACTTTCGTCGGTGTGCTAAATCATTTTGTGTGTAAAACAGACAGACAGACAGACAGACAGACAGACAGACAGACAGACAGACAGACAGACAGACAGACAGACAGACAGACAGACAGACAGACAGACAGACGAACAGACAGACAGACAGACAGACAGGCTAAAATTTTTGCGCTCAAGTATCCCAAGAAAGACTTTCGTCTTTATTAAAGAGGCAGAATCACCTAAAAATGTCCTGTAGACTATTCTACGCTCGGCAAAGCGAAGGGAGGAGTAGAAAGATGAGAGAAAGAACGGTGAAACAAAGAAGAAACTGAGCAATGAAGGAGATGGCGCGAATGTGCCAGCGGCACTATGCAAATCGTCAGGGGCTTTCCACAGAGCCGTAGTTCTGAAAAAGCGAAACAAATTCGTGAAGTTTGGAATGAGTTGCGCAAAGCTGCGTGACTCGATGAAGAGCCGGAAGTCAGAAGACTCAGCTTGGAAGACTTGAGGTAATATGGTCCTCAAGTCTTCTGACTAACGCCAGTTGCTTTCTTCCTATCTCCTTTCCTTTATTCCTTTCTTTCTTCCTTTCTGTCAATTTTTATCTTTGTTTTTTTTATGCTTATTGTTTATTTCTTCAATTCACCGTATTTCTCTCCTTTCTTTCTCTTTCTTTTCTTTCTTTGCCTTCACCTCACCTCCTTTTCCCCACTTCCCTTTTCCACCCATTTGTTTTATTATACTACAGAAGGCTATGTTATGTTCTCATAGCATAACTGTGAAGCGCAATGGTTACGCCACTCGCCTGCACATTGAGGGTGCTTATCACTGAGTTAATTCCGGTGATTCATTAAACCTTTTCTAATTACTAGTTCCGTCTGTATAGAAATGTTCGTTGGTTCTTGCAGCCCGTCTGTTGCCCTCTTCATTTTTAGTGCTCCAGCAGAGAATAACAGGATTAGTGCGATTTCCGTGGCGCACGCCCGTTCGTGCTGACAACTTTTTGTAATCATTCATTTTACCTCGAGCTTCTACAACATCGCAATCAAAGAGGTGTGTTAATTGTGTTCTGATATTGCAAGCGATGGAGTTACCAAATATACAAACAGTCATGCCAAGTTATCGTACTGTGCTTGACTTTGTGGACTACAGTGTACTATTCCTTCGTTGAATCACTAAGTTGATTCAATAAGTAAGTGAGTTATTACAGTTACCAGCGAGTAAATTGGACTGCTGCTACTGCGGTTGCCTTTGAAGAAGAGAAAGTTCGTAGTCTGTACTTCTCATTCTGTCCCGCCCTAACACACGCCATAGTGACCGTGCTCCGTAAAGCCAGCTCTCAGCATGCTAACTTGATCTCTTCTATGACTGAAATTTTGTTCTTGACTATGCAAGTTGACAATTGTCTATTATCAGGCTGAGCCATCATGTTGTCCGCCATCGTTAAAGTTGAAGTTTCAGCGAGAGTACTGAAACAAACTTCGGGGGAAAAAAAATCAAGGACCTCGTCCTATTGAAATGAAAACTGTGAAGTACGCAGCACATAAAGACGTAAGAATTTGATGCTCTAATTTGTATCATACCCTCTTAGGAGTGTTCATGAAAGATAAAATTTGAAACGGCTCTCAAGCGAATTCCTCTATCTAAGGTTTCATCGCGAGTTTTATATTTTTCCAATTACGTAACGAACCGACGAATCACTGCTCCGCCACTTCGCTTCTGAACACATGGCGCTCCTTTAACCTCGTCCGCGTACTGTTTTCCCGTTCAGTATCAGCGCCAGCGTTGATTGTCACTGTCAGCTATTAAATCACATCAAAACGTTTGCGAGGGCTTTGTCGAAAGACGATGTTATGTGACTTTCGCCTTACTTCGTCCTCCCTGTCAAATTCACATTGAAGTTCAAATTCAAATTCAGATTTATTTCAACCTTTTACAATCTAACGTATGGAGGACAATTAAAAAAATCTGCCGAAAGGCGGCTTGACTAGTCCGTAGCCCTTATCAAAAGATAAGGCAAACTTATCTTTCAAAATCATAACTTCTTACTTCACTAAGAACGCCTTTGACAACGCCGCAAGCATGCGAAGGAATGTTGTCCTTGTAAAAGCAGCTTCACAGCAATCTGTTTACAGGATGGCACGGAGTGTATTAATTTGCGTGTTCAAGGATAACCCGACAGGAACAAGTTTCTCGCAAATTCGCACACGTTGAACCATTTGCACAGTACGATAAGCTCTTGCTCCTGAGAAAATGAGCGCTTCGATTAGGTTTCCAATCATGGCACCCTATCACGTAAATAATAATTTTCGCCTGTGATGAATATATTCTGCTCGAAAAAAAATTTCATACATTTGCCTCAGAAAAACCATTCTACCGTTGAGCATTTTCACAAAATTCGCGCTAATGCCGCAATTTTAGGCGATGCTGTTCATGCAGTAGGATCCTTACTTGGATGATAGCGTGAGTTATTCATATTTACCGCAAACAAAAATAACATCGTGTTTTAAAGCCTCGTTATTCACCGCCGTGTTTTAATGAAAACAGATTGCACCCCCTCTTGTATATTCCCTTTTATTTTTTTTATTTTTTTGCTGGTGGTGCATCTGGCTTTCTTCGCGCGTGAATATTGCAGTCGTAGCTGCATGCATTTCGGAAAATGTTCGCGTGCTAACTGTGAGCTAAATTATGAATTATGATTGGGCGTTAGCGTTATTTATGAATGCGTGGGCGCGTTGTTCATGTGTGTATGCAGTTTCGTGCCCGGGGGTCTTTGATATTTCATTGAGACACCTGTGCTAGTCTAGCACAGCGTGCGTTAAAAAAAAACAGCGTCCCCGAAACTTTTAATGAGATACTGTCCGGAAACTTTTCACCAACTGAGAGTTGGGACTTGTAAGAAGAGAACTAGATACTTGACACTTTGGATTACGAAAGCAACACAGAAAGATTTTTTTTTTCTGCCACGCTTTTCAAAGTCTACAGTACATTTTATTTCCGTTATCGCCGACAGGAGTCTCAATGGCAAACTGGTCCTATTATTCTTATTTTTACTAACGAAGAATACTAGATGAAAATTGGCCGAGTATCTGCAAGCTTTGCTGCGAAGGTAATCGAAAAATGATAGTGTTCTGTCTTGAGCTGCGTAAAAGAGGATGTCATTTTGCAGTAATGTCAGGAAACAAAAGTTTGTAGAATGCAGAGCCACTGGTAGGTGGCAGCACTGTGTCGTTTTAGCGTAATGTAGAAGTACCCGATCTTTTGTTCGTAGCGTCCCATGGTCAGTGCCGCGTAATAAATACTTCTGTCTCTAGAATTACGTAACAATGTATTTTCTAAATCAAGAAACACATTACCCAATACTTACGTATTGAAGCTGGGCCTCGGCTATGGGTAGCATTTGCTTTTTTATTGACCATGTTCACTAGTGTGAACATGTAAACATACCAGGTCAAGATGACTTGGCGATGAGCAAACCTTAGACTCTCGCCGGGTGACTGAGTCGTTTGACAGACAGATAAACAGAAATACAGACAGACAAAGTTTTATGTGTTGCAGTATCCAGAGAAAGACTTTCGCATTTAAAAATAGCACAGCAATGTTATCGTCAGAGCTCATGCGAAACTGTACTGATGACGTATTATAGGAATTGTGGATATGTGTGCAGGAAATGGCGATTGTAGCTGATCCCTCAATGCATGATGCCCATGTCGTGTTTCTGGCTTCAACGCTACTTGTGATGCCAGCCGTCAACAAAAGCACAACCTTCCAGACGGCTGTTTTGATTACACAAATAGAGCGGACGCGAGAATGCTTTCTTGAAGACGGCTTTTTGCAATTATTTCGCAATTGATGCTATTCTCGAACTAAACTTTTTTAAAGAGGTCCTGCAACACTTGTGTAACCACGTCACTCCCGATGCTCAAATCAGCCGATGGTTGAGTTCATGTGCTTTTGGCAATGTGATGCAGTTGATTTTGTTTATAAGACATCAATTGCAGAAAGATAAGCCAATGATTTCTAACTATCTGAAACTTAATTTTAAATTCTACGCCACGTGATGTGCTGTAATTTATGGCTCCAAGTTCACAGAATCCTCGACTGCCGATCGGCAGCATTTTCTGACCATGTCCAAACGTTGTCGTAGGGCCCCTTTAGATGTGGATGCGATATATTTAAAGCGACTTTCTTGTTTCTTCTTCTCGTTCGACAGCTGACGTACGCCGATACGCACCCGATGTACACCCTAGAGAACTACCCGAACTTCTTCCGGGTGGTGCCGTCCGAGTCCGTGTTCAACCAGGCCCGGGTCGCTCTGCTCAAGCACTTCAACTGGACCAGGGTCGGAACGCTCTACCAGACCAATCCACGATACGCGCTGGTGAGACTCGCTTGTTACTTCTTCACAGAGCCATAGAATCCGCATTGTCATGTGACTCCCGGTTGGGAGCTGATTTGTTACGCGACAGGATAGGATGGAGTTCAATGGCAGAAGTCTTGGTGCTGCTAATAACATAATAAAAGTACGATGGCAACGACGATGACGACAATGTATAGGGTAGTTCACATGACGTCTGTAATCATGTCATATTAATTAAATCTGAGAGCACTTGCCACATGCATTTAAGACAACTCAATAATTGTATCGCAGTATATCTTAAAGAGGCCCTGAAAAACTTTTTCAAGCAACCATGGAATGAATTCACTGGAAAAACTTATTGCCTCACGAATTCAACGCCACAAGAATTTTAGGAATCCGTAGAGTGCGATTGGAGTTACAAAGATTTGTCGCCTGCTGCAAATGCATTTTGTCTTCTTTCGTCCCGACGAAAGCGCTGGAAGCTAAGCAGGGAGGTATGACAGTGGCAAAGAAATCAGGTGACGCACGGCTGGTGACCTTGAGCAGCTTTTTTATTTATTTTTCTTGGAATACAAGGTTTTTTCAGTGTGATCGCACGCGCACGCAAGGACAAGTCACCGCCTCGCGCGGCGATCTCTGTAACGACCAAGCGCACCATGTTCAAAGCAGCCAATTGCTGATATATGGTTTCCTACGAGTAATTTTCGAGCGTTTTTCGTCCTTTGTCGAAAGAACACGGCAATTTTTAACTGATTTGATAATTTATTGTGAATTCTAGGCCGCGTGATGCGCTACAGTATTTGGTTCGCGTGTTCTCGGAAGCCTCCACTACCGATCGGCGACGTTTTCAGACCATGCTAAAAAATTGTTGCAGGGCCCCTTTAATTGTTATGTATTTCAGAGATACCTTATAAGAATCGATGTAACGCTCTTTAAAGGGCGAGGTTGGACGAGAAGGAATATAAGAAAGCTGTTACGCTTAAATTGTACTTCTACGTATCTTAAGCCAGAATTGACACATTACGCAGTGATGATATTGTCATTTAACGCTTGTACACGCTAGCTGCGTTTTTGTCTTACTAATTAAATTATAGTATGAACGCAATCATTGAATTCTGGATGGCCAAGAAACAATGTTTCTCTTACGATGCACCTTCTACTCCTCAACGTCGGTTCCAGATTCACAACGTGACTTACGGGCAATACAAAATGTTTGCTATGCCATTTTCGGTAATGTAGAATACATAATTATAGTGCTAATTGCATTCGCGGCTACATACAACGTCACTTTTCCAAAGCACCCTCTTTCTAAAAACGAATACTCTAAGTCTCTCATGCGCTCTAAGCTTCAGTATGCATTTGACATATGGTATCCCAGTCATGCTAACTTTACCGTCTCTTTTGAACTAGTACAGAACAACTCTCCTAGATTCAACCTCTTTAACTACAACCACACTGCCGGTATAATCTCAATGTAAAATACCTTGTCACTTAGTTCATTGGCTCGCTGATGAAAACTCGCCCGTCTTTCAATATTTTCTTAAATTTTCTGCCATCCAACACGAAACAATGACCTCATACTCCAGCTTGTGTGCATTTCCAACCGTACTGATAATCATAATAAAGTAGAAATTGCATCATATCACACTGAGTCGTTCTTTCAGTCATTAATTCCCCGTACATCTCACGATTGGAATTACCTTCCCTTAAGTGTCGCAACCATCGCTGACTGCAAACGTTTTCACGATACATCAGCTAACATTGTATAAGCAGGAAAATTCTCTACTCATTGCTCCTGTTTGTTTACTTGATTTTTTTTTCCTGAACTAACTACAATTTTTGTATAACCTGGAAAAATGCTGTGTTAACTGAATTCACTGCACTTCTTTTTAAATTTCATCTCTTTATCAACTCCTCTCTTGAATGTCATTTTGCCCTGAGGGTATTATAAATAAAAATAAATATTTCGGCATCCACTTGTTAGGAGCGGAGCTCCTTAAACCCGAACTCCGATGTCGCCGTCGAAGTTCCCTGCGCAGAACAAGTCCACCGAAAAACACTCGCAGTGAGGGCGCAGGCGCGGCGGCAGATGGCACAAGCTGCACCACGCGCGATGCAGCGAGTGGGGAGAGCAGACGCTCTCTCTACCCGCTCCCCATCCTACCGCCTTCCCGGAAGCCAGCAGTGAGATCAGGTGCTTAGTTGCTGGCGTCCCATTCTTATGAGCTTCGCTAATCGGTTGTATACGTACACGGAATAACTGCTAGTTTTTTGCCTTGAACACCCCTCGCTGACCAATTCCAGTTATAACGTTGCTGCATTTTTTCGGACTCCCCTCAACTTACCTCTGGTCTGCTCTTCCGGTTTCGGTCTTGGTAAGGGAAATCTGCACTGGACACAATTGTGCAACTCGCCTAAAAGCTACTCTCTGACTCAATTTCGGGAAGTCATTCGAAGGAGCCTTGGAATGCGTCCTCTTCATACTGTTATTCGTAATCATTAAAATTTATACCTTTTTTGGAAGTGTACAGCAACCATCTGCAACGTTGTACGTATTTCGCGCCCATAACACTAATATATGATAAACCTTTGACCTGAATTCACCTGTCACGTTTATTGGCATATCACCCCCACAAATTGTCCTTGGCTGAAATCAGCTAGTGTTGTAGGCGTGATGGCTAATCCTGATTTGCAGTTGAAAATCCCCGCTAAATGTTCATTAGTGCTGCTTAATTTGGCTACATCCTACCTAATTTTGAAGTAAATCTTGGTTATCATGGTATTGTTGATAACCGACCGTGATTAACAGAGGTGAAATACTGGCCAGTACACTATAGTATTGTTGGTAACCATGGGTAACTGATGTGTAGTATTCGCAAGCGGTTTCGTAAAGTCAGATTTGCGTTGACTGCGCGCTGTTCTCATTAACAGAATTTATTGCCTTCATGCAATTTTATCTCAGCGATTACAAAATTTGCAATGTATAAGGCATAAATTATCCTTTCCGCTCGAACGACTGTCATGCGCTTTCCTCCCTCCGAAACATGTGTTTGCTTTTCCGCAGTACGAGTGACTTAGAGGCAAAGCACGCTTTACAAGTGTACCACTCTCTGCGACGTCTTTTCATCACACGGGTCACTGAAAAAGATGATCGACAACGAATTCGCAAATACTATGATTCATTGTTGAAATTAGGAGTAAATACAACAATTCACAATTCGTACAGAGCGCATGCGCGTTCAGCGAGCAAACTTGTGTTTCACGGAAATGAAAGTTTGGTATGACAGCCCAATAATACTTAGAGCGGCACACCAGATGTCGAGATTTTCTTCACCCATCCGAAATCCAGTTCCACCGCCCATCTTGTCTTGCGAGTGGAGGAACATTCCTAAAAGGGCGCTTTGAATATTCAGAAAGTAAAAATTCAATACCGTGTGAATAAGGTTATGAAGTTTCAAGCGCGCGTACCAGACTGCTGAGGCACTCACATTGGTCACCAATTTTTTTTTTTTGCGGTGTTTACGTTGTCGTGAGTTCTTTGAGGTATATACCAACCTCGAAGTTGATTGATTGATTGATTGATTGATTGATTGATTGATTGATTGATTGATTGATTGATTGATTGATTGATTGATTGATTGATTGATTGATTGATTGATTGATATGTGAAATTTAGCGTCCCAAAACTACCATGTGAATATGAGAGATGCTGTAGTGGAGGGCTCCGGAAATTTCGACCACCTGGGGTTCTTTACCGCGCACGCAAATCTGAGCACGCGGGCCTACAACATTTTCGCCTCCATCGGAAATGCAGCCTTCACAGCTGGGATTTAATCCCGTGACCTGCGGGTCAGCAGCCGAGTGCCTTAGCCACTAGACCACCACGGCGGGGCACCAACCAGGAAATTTGGACAGAAAACGTAGTAACAAACTTGTATTATTTTTGTTTATGACTAAACCTTGTTATCCGTAACAAGAGTGACCTTTAGTTCTGCTTCACAATGAAGGCCCGATAGAATTAGCTTTCTTTTGTTTTAGCTTTGAAGCACCTTAAGAGCTCGGCTTGTGACCGTCTAATATCGCTGTGGTGTGCTATGTCATCCCGTTTGCTCGCGAATGTACGCGCACCGTTAAAATTGGCTAAACCTCGCTACTCACTGCTGGTTCACTAAGTATAAAGGAGGCAACAGTCAGCCCAAACAAATGGCTGACGACGTCAGAGGAGCTGAAATCGGGAATGTAATTTGGTCATGCAGGGAAGAAGAAGAACAATAAACTGCCATTCGACGCGGTTTTCCGACAAGGTTAGCTGAGTTAAAACGCTCTTCTCTACATGAGCGGTGGGAGCCTTGGCGCCGCTTGTGCCTCGAAAAGAAATTTCTCTCAAAATACTGCATCCTTCGCTTTTCCACAGTTTGTTTCAGTCTAGACACTCTACCTGAATAACACGTTATACGTAGCATTTTGTAGACAGAGTAAGGTGGTGGTGTTGGTGATATTATTATTATTATTTTATTATTATTATTATTATTATTATTATTATTATTATTATTATTATTATTATTATTATTATTATTATTATTATTATTATTATTATTATTATTATTATTATTATTATTATTATTATTATTATTATTAAGAAGAAGAAGAAGAAGAAGAAGAAGAAGAAGAAGAAGAAGAAGAAGAAGAAGAAGAAGAAGAAGAGGAAGAAGAAGAAGAAGAAGAAGAAGAAGAAGAAGAAGAAGAAGAAACGCACAAGCATAAGCTATTCAGGGACCACAGATTCCACCAGTCACAATCCCGTGATCCGTCACCAATTCGTATATTGCACGAACAATGCATCTACTCTTTGAAACAAGTGCGACTGCTGCTATCGCCACCTGATATATTTCTTTGTTGTCGTCGTAGTCGTCGTTGTCGTCGTGGTATTCATCGTCGTCGTTGTTGTTGTTGTAGTTGTTCCTTTTTTTTTTTCTGTGTAGAGCGGCATACCGTACTACTACTATTCGCGCTTATTCTTG